ATCCTTAGCTCAAATATGAATTCACAAAGGAAATTAGAAAATATTTTTAACAAAAAGAAAATGGGAATACAACACATTAAGATTTCCATGATCCCTTCATAATGGTCTGGGAGGGACATTGAAGTCATATTTAAATGGAAGACATACCTAAAATTCATGATCTAAGCTTCCATCTTTAAAAAACTAAAATCAAAGCAAAACATAGCAAAAAAAAAAACCTAAAGAGATAAAATCAGTAATTAAAATACAGAAAACAATAAGGAAATCTCAATAAAATGGGGGGAAAGCTAGTTTTGGTGTTTTGTTTTGTTTTGTTTTGTTTTGTTTGAGGCAGGGTTTCTCTGTGTAAGAACTCTAGCTGTCCTGGAACTAGCTCTTGTAGACCAGGCTGGCCTTGAACTCACAGATCTGCCTGCCTCTGCCTTCTGAGTGCTGGGATTCAAGGTGTGCACCATCACTGCCTGGCAAGGGAAGCTAGTTCTTTTGAAAGACCAAGAAAATCAGTGAACTAAACTGATCAGAGAAAACATTTGCCAATATCAAGATTGACACAAAGCCTGGCATGCTGGCACAAGCCTGTAAAATCTTAGTACTCTGAAAGCTGAAGCAGGAGGATCATAAATTTCAAGGTTAGTCCGGGTGCCGCAGTGAGACCCAGAATCCAACAAACAACGAAAAACATGAAAGAGAACATCACCTGTCAGGCAGCAGTGCAATGTGATAACGCTGAACAACCAAACCTGATAAACTCATTCATATGGGGCGAAGTAGATAAATTCTTCAAACAAAAGAAACAAACAAAACTCTCTCAAGAAGAAATAGAATGTCCTTAATAGTCCTCTGATTTCTTAAATAGAATTTGTAGTTAACAACTATTTCAACAAGGAAAAGTCCAGGCCTATGTGGAATTACTGCTAAATTTTACCACACACTTAAGGAATTCATGGTATTGATCAAAAGTAATTATCTCTTGAATATATAAGAACAGAAAACATTTTCCAAATCATTTGCAGATCAACTTCATTAGATAAAGAAACTACAGATCAATGTATCTCAAAACAAGCACGTCTACCAATGGGCCAGAGAGTCGGCTTAGCAGGTAAAAGCACTTGTTGCTCTTGCAGAGGACCCAAGCTCGCGTTCCCAGCACACATCCACCTCTCCTGCTCAGCACACATCCACCTCTCCAGCTCAGCACACATCCACCTCTCCAGCTCAGCACACATCCATCTCTCCAGCTCCAAGTGATCCAATGCCCTATTCTGACTTCCCTGGGGACCAAGCAGGCATGTGGTACATATCCATACATGCAGGTAAAGCGCTAACACATAAAATGAAAATAAACAAATCTTTATATATACCAACCAAAAAATACTACTGCTCTAACCCAGCAATATATCAGAATGACAAAATATAAGAGAGGTGTGTTTATCCTAGGAGTGAAAGGTTGGTTTAACATTTCCAAATCAATATTGTGCCAACAGACCTAAAAAGGAAAAATCACATGGTCATCTCAGTCAATAAAGATGGGGGTGGAAGATGGTTTAGTGGTGAAAGTTCTTGCCATGAATCATGGGGACCTGAGTTCGGATCCCCAGAAACTACATAAATGTTAGGCAATCTTGGTCACCTCCCTGGAATTCCAGCCTTGGAAGGTGGAGCCAGGGGTTCCACAGAGCAAGCCAGCTAGTGAGACCAGCCATACAGCTGCGTTCTGGTGTAACTGAGAGCTCCTGCTTCAAAGAATAAGCTCAAAGAGCTACGGAAGATGATTCCTGACTTCAACCTCAGGCCTACACACACACACACACACACACACATTTAACTGCACGCACACACACACACACACACACACACACACACACACACACACACATACATGTGCATACATATACCAACACCCATGAACATGGAAAAAGAAATAGGTGGAGAAAAGAATTTGATAAATTCAGCATTCATTCATGATCTAACTAATGGGGGTGGTGGTGACGGCTTGTATATCTAAAGAAATTAAAGGAATTAAAGAGAACTTGTCAACATTATGAAGGTTATTTCTCCTTGTGCTCAGCAAGTCATCCAGAACACAACAAGCATGTATTTCACAGGTTTTCAGTCTAGATATCCAGGTGTGGTCCAGGTGTGGCCCAGGTGAGGCCCAGGTGAGACCCAGGTGTGGCCCAGGTGGCTCCTCGGGTCCTCTGACTTGAGGCTTCACAGGTTGAGCTGAGGTTGTCGTGGTGGTCTGGAGACCCCTTCCAGCTCACTCACAGGGTTCTGACAGGATCGGCTTTGCTCTGCCCCTTGGCCTGGCAGCTCCCTTCCATGGCACGCTCACAGCGTGTCGCCCAGCTTTCTTCAGAGCAGATGAGCGAAGGCACCCAAGGTAGAAGTCATCCTCTCATAAGCGCATCCCCTCAGAGTCCTTAAAAAGAAATCACTAGATAGGCATCTGCAGGGTTTCTCAGTGGCAGCTGTGTGATTATGGGGAGGGGGGGTGATGGCTTGTGTAACTAATTGGAGGGGGTCAAGAAAAACTATGGGAAATAATGGAAGGTTCCTGAATGCATGACCACCAAGGGTGGATTCAAAACCAAACAAGTAGCAAAGCTTAGGGCTTCTGAGAGTGCTCAGCTGCGATGGGTCAAGTCTCTTCATTGCAGCCTTTGCTCCGCACACACGGCGTGCATGTACACTTGCAATGTGAGAACCTTCCTTCTGCTCGCTGTGAACCAGCGTCACCCAAAACACCTGCCCTCAGATTTAAGGCTCTTGCTCATTTTGAGCACAGTGCTTTTTCTATATTATGAGCACCATGCTTTTTCTGTGTTTGATAGTTTAATTATGGGAAAGCAAACACTTTTAATACTTTGTTGGAGTTCTTCAGCTTTTAACGAGCCAATTAATATCTCACTAACCTGCCCTGTTAGAACATTTAGTTTTGCTTTTTTATCATTGTTTGGATTCCTGACCTGAGTTTTATTTTTAAAATGCCATTAAATGAATTTTGGCTTGAGATTTAAAACAAATTTCCATAATTTTTGAAATGGCCCTAAAATACTTCTGCTGTTCTATAGCACGTAGTTAGGTACAACACTATCTCCATGTTGAGTCTGATAAAAATTCAGGTATTGATCAACTCTGAAAAAAATTCTTGCATCATTAAATATTCTTTATATAGAAATAAACAAGCATATCCATTTTGTCTTTAATAAATTATAAAATTATATAGGTGTGTGTGTGTGTGTGTGTTTATGCCTGCATGTGTATATGTGTGTGTGGTGTGGTGTGTAGGGGTGGGGTTTTTTGAGACAGGATCTCACATAGACTGGGCTGACTTGGACTGTTTGTGTTGTCTAGAAAGATTGACTTTATTAAACTCCTGATCCTCCTGCCTTTAGTTCCCAAGTGTTAGATTTACAAGAACATGCCACCATACCTGATTCCCAAATGACTGTTTTAAAGTAAATTTCTCCATGATTTAATTTCAGAAAATGTTTGTAAACTTCCTTTATATACCCAAATACCTGAGGTCAGGTAAGAATTTCTTATGTAAAAAAGGGACAAAGTGGGTAAGGGGATGAGAGTCCATCAGGACACAACTGTCAGGAGGCGGGGTCATTAAGGGCCCTCCTAGAAGCTGCCTACAGCAAACATAAAATAATAATAATAATAATAATAAATAGATAACCAGCATCATGCTTACTGGTCTTTTCAGCAGCAATATGAAGGGTATGGTATTGCCTCTCTTTTTTGTCTGTTTTTGGTTTTTTGAGACAGGGTTCCTCTAGGCTTTGGAGCCTGTCCTGGAACTGGCTCTTGTAGACCAGGCTGGCCTCGAACTCACAGAGATCTGCCTGCCTCTGCCTCCCTAGTGCTGGGAGTAAAAAAGTACATCACCACTGCCCAGCGGTCTTGTCACCCTTAATAGCACACTGATGAATCTACCCAGTGAATAGAAAAACAAAATCAAACGGATTAAGAAAAACTAAAATTGTCCCTCTTTTGTGGTCTATACAAAAATCCCTAAGGACTAAAGTAAGTCTCTCGGGTCCCTGAGGTGAGAACACATCCAGAGGGCAAATAGGCTTCAGATTCATATTTAAACCATTAAAAATCATTAACCACTTATTTCAGTGACTAAAGTCAGAGGCACATGGATTCCGACACTGGAAACATTGCTAGTGGGAAGGCAAAATGGAACCGCCAGAGATGAAAACATTTTGGTGGTTACTTACAAGAAATAAACTTGATATGCAACCTAGCAGTCCTCTTCAAGCAAAATGAAAATATATGTTCATAGAAAGGACTATGCATGGCATCTATAGTGACTTCATGCGTAATCACTCCAAACTGGAAACAATTTCAACCAGGCGTGAATAAACAAATACCGGTACATTGATACACCAGGACTCTACCCACCAATAAAAAGAAAGACACTGATGATGAATGCAAGATCTGTGGGTCTCCGATGCGTTCTGTGAAGTCAGAAGCTTATTCTCAAAAACTGCGCAGTGTATGCTCCCATTTATACGATATTCTGGGAAAGGCAAAACTATCGAGAAGACAAAAATTCAAGAATAGGAATTCGCATTCGTACATGATTTCTGGGAGGGTCCCAGACCACCACTAGTCCATCCCCAGACCTCATTATACCGCACTCCCTTTGCCAGGCAACTGCCACGCCCTGTGTGCCCAGTCCCAGCTTCTTCCTCAGTTCTGTGCAGATTTGCATAGTTCCTTGACCAGGGCTGGCCCGGATTTCGCAGACATTTTCTCTGCTGAAGTCCTGTCTCCAGTACACAACACCTCGGCGCCTAGCATAAGGGATGAAAGGGCTGACAGAGTGTTGAGGCTGTCTGTCCGGTGGCGCGCTACCTTCTTTCAAGAATTCTTAGATCCATCCGCTGCCACTGTCGCTGTGCTCTAGCAGGTTCGATAAGGAGGTGACTGGGGAAATCAAGGCAGGTTCTGCTATGTACCACGCCAAGGCCCCACTGCAAGGGAGGGAAGGCCACTCTCTCGCTTCCTGAAGCAGGACGGGGCAGGACCGACGCAGCAGGACCCCTCCAGGGGTTCCCAGGCGAGGAGGGGACACCAAGGAGTGACTGATATAAGGTATGGACCTGGGCACCGTAGCAGGAACCAGCTTCTAGGAGGGCCCGGGTGCAGGAATCCTCGCAGATGCTCCACGCAGCGCCGTCCGCGATCTAAATCCTGCGGACCTGCAGCGTGAGATCTGGGACCCTGCCAGGTGACTGCGGGGACAACAGGGCGAAGGGCGGCCCCGCCCAGCCCGGTGCGGTTCCCATGGGGATCGCGGCGGCGACCAGCCTGGCTGCAGGCGGCTGGACACGAGCTGGGCCGAGAGGCACCGGGAGTAGAGGCAGGAGGTCCTTGCGGTCCCCCGTTGCCCCGGTTGCCCGCCCGGTGTCTTCTTCCGGAGGAAATGAGACCCGAAATTAGAACCGGGGAAACCCTTGGCCTTCGCGGTGCTCCAGCCAGCTCAAGTGTCTTAGACCGTATGAACCATAACGTTAAAAGGATAGCTTATCTTACAGCTCGGCTCGTTTTAGGATGATGGCTACATCTTTAGCTCTAGGGAATGAAAACAGACAATTGAAATTAGGTCGCCCGGCCGCCACCTGTAGGCTCCCAGTCTTGACCACGACGTGATGTCATTGCTGGGGGTGGAGTCCACACCTGGCTGGTCCTAATTCTATAACTTAGTGTCCTTGTTTTCTCTAGCTCCTGGCCCACAGTCCCTACTCCATGGGGCTCGAGTGCGGTCCGCCGACCACCTATTTCGTAAACAACGTTTAAAAACTGTACGAAAGTTCATTCTCAAGACTTACTCCTCCCGAGATGGAGAAATATGAAAAAATTGGTAAGATTGGAGAAGGCTCCTACGGGGTGGTGTTCAAGTGCAGAAACAGGGACACGGGTCAGATCGTGGCCATCAAGAGGTTTCTGGAAACTGAAGATGACCCTGTCATAAAGAAAATCGCCCTGCGAGAAATCCGCATGCTCAAGGTAGTAGATTCGCTTTTTCTGGGTTAGATAACGCTGTCCGATGTGGTGATGCCCCCTTTCCCTCACAGCCTTGTGTCCTCAGAGGCACAAATCCGAGTCTGTGCGCAGAGAACCGGTTATGTAAGAAGTAAGCAAGGTGAAAAGGAGCTGTGTGGCAGCCAGCACTTGCAGGGAAACTGAGGCATTTCGTTTCTCCCCCTTTATGGTGTCATCTGCCGACAGTCTTTTCGAGAGTCCCTGACATGCAGAATTTAAAACAATGCAACTTTGCTATAGTTCTTGAGTTGTAAGTTCCTAGACTGTTTTCTATTAGTATTTTAAATCCATTTTCCTGCTTTCTTGGGCTGTGTGGGGGTATGTATGCCTCTGTACGTGCTCGCATGTGTGTGAGAACATATGCTATGCATGTTTGCCTCTGTATCTCCGTGTCCTCCTAGCACACACGGTGGCACCTGCTAGACTCCCAGTAAATGTTCTTATTGAATTTGGGGGGCTAATAAAATAAACTCTTGGGAAAAAGTAGGTGTTACGGGTCAATCCTAATTGAATGAGAGAGAATCATTTCCCCCGAGCTGACCTCTGACTCCCATATTGCTCAGTAGCATCCGCGTGTTCCACCTACCAAAATAAATAAAATATAACCTGGAAGAGAAAGAGCGAGGCGTGTGATGACTATGACAGAGGTTGTGTTCTCAGCTGAAAACCCATGTGTTCGGGAGGTGGAACTGTACACACGGATTTCAAAGCAGAAAGCTGCCACCACCTAAACTCAATGTTTCTCTCTTCTCTAGTCTAGGTAAGGGGTGGGAAGATTGCTGATTTCTGTGCCTTTAATTCTAGCTCTTCAACCTTATATGGTATTCCTAAATATCTAGTTTGTGCTTGCTGCATATTTGGTAGCTAAGAGGGTTTGGGAAGTGAACTCATATTTTCTTCCCTGATCCAATACGTTCTTACTGAGCCTAACTGTACCTAAAAAAGTGTTGTGCAAAGTTGTTTCAGAAGCTCAGCTCTTGGAAGGGGGGATGGAATAAAATTCACCCCAATCTCACTTCTGGTGTGCTGAGGTCCTAATGGGCAGAGCCTGTGTCACTGACCTTGGGTCCCCACCGCTGGCAAGAGCTCTTCGGGTGTCCTTGAGTATAGAAAGCATGTTAGGATTGGGTTTAGAAGTTCGAGGGAAATAGGGGATGCAATGGAGTGGCTGAGTTTCAGGCGGGCTGTGCTTGGACTTGAGTGTGGCTCTGCAGCTCTAGGGATACTAACCTGGATAGGAAATACGTTAGCCGCTACAGGGAGACTGCAACTAGGTGTGTTCCTGGTGGGGGTGGGAGGGAGTATTGGATTCCAGTGAGAAGCTGAGGCTTTTTCATAGTCCTCATGGGGTGAAGGGAAAACTCAAACTGGGACTTCAGAGCAAAGGGTGAAGGAGCCTCATCGACCTCAGTCCTGATGGGAGGGCTGGCCCAGACTGCCCCATTGCAGAAGCGGAAGAATGGCAGCTTGAGGCAGGAAGTGGGATTTTGACCATCTTGGCTAAGGTATCTGTCTTTCTTCTGAATAGCCAAGATGCTTGTTTGTTTGTTTGTTTTAGAGACAGAGTTTCTCTGTGGAGCCCTGGCTGTCCTGGAACTCATGGTGTAGACCAGGCTGGCCTCTAACTCAGAGATCCGCCTTCCTCTGCTTCCCAAGTGCTGGGGTTAAAGGTGTGAACCACCACCACCCCAGACTGCCAAGATTGTTTTTTTTATTAAAAGTGTCAGTTTTGGACTCACGGACCACTGAAGATTCAAAGCAAACCTTTTTCTCTCTAGCAACTGACGGAGAGTTATCAGGACTGCTCAGAGTCCTGTTAAGTACTTGGATCATAGTCTTGTGCCTCCACGCCATGCTGTTTTCTTTCCATTCTTTGAAACAGGGTCTTATGCTGTAGACCAGGCTAGCCTTGAGCTCCATGCTAGGGACTGAGCCCAGGGTCTCTCGCACACCTGGCAGTACTATATCTGTGCTGCATCCTCAGCCCAGTCAGGACTTAAGAACAACAACAGCAACAAGAACCCACTGAACCCTCTTAACCTACTCTTCTTAAATAATCAGACACTTTAATATTAAAAAGAAAACTAGAAAAGGTACCCTTGGTGGGAAACATGACCTTCCTGAGAGAGAGAGAAAACAATATGGTGATAAAATCATAACATCCAGCTTTATCTTCTGTGCTGTGCCAAGCAAGTCATTTTGTGTGTGTGTGTGTACACGTGTGTGTGTGTACATGTGCCTGTGCGTGTGTGTGTATATGTATGTGCATGCCCGTGTGCATGTGCATGTGTGTGTGTGCATGTGCCTGTGCGTGTGTATATATGTGTGTGCATGCCCGTGTGTATGTGTGTGTGTGTATGTGTGCGCGCGCACATGTGTGTTTTGCAGGCTCCTTTTCTTAGCTTCACTATCCACCAATGAACCCATGACAGCATTTGTCATGTGCACTGTAAACCCCATGACTGTTAATACTACATCTGGGGACAATAAGATTCCCAGATCAGATCAAGTGCTATCCCGCACAGATGGTCTATAGCTGGTGAAGCAAACTGTCTATGCGGCTCCCGTTGCCTTGGTGGGACGGTCCCTGGGATCGCATATAGTAACAGAATTGAGAATTCCTCGTGTGGATCTTTCCAGACTCTGCTTCACAAAATAAAGTAAGGCCCGGTAACTACGGCAAACTTCCGAGGGCTGTAGTTGTTTCTCCGTAAACAGATGTAACTGTGGGAGGTGATTGTCTAGCAACCAGCTGGGTGGTTGTAAAGGTGGCACCTCTTCCGTGTCTCCCTTTCAGGTGTGCAGTCCCATCAGGAAGTTGTAGCCAGGGGATTAGAATATCCAGACCTCCAGCTTGCTGAGTTTTTTACCAAAGGTTCTCTCTCTCTCTCTCAACTGGAAACACTACAAATAGCATTATTTTATGCCAACCAGAGGGGGAAAGTGTGACTCTGTTTTATAAAGTGATGTTATTTTTAATATATCACTATCTAAAGAAGATGCAACCCTGTGCTCACCAAGACGCTCTGTGAGAGTCGACTCTTCAATATCTTAATTTTCAATTGGAATCTTCCTAGGTTATATAATTGAACTTGTAAAAAAGAAAAGCGAGAAAGAGAAAGTGACTGTCTTTTTGGAGCAGCAGGCAGCACCATTGTCTCATAAAATTACAAAAAGCAAACAACTGCTCTGTTAAAAACAGTTAGCTCCTCCTCTAGGGACAAGTTACTATCACTCTTGTGTCAGCTCAGTGGGTCTCTTTCAAATCTCTTTTCTATCAGAGGAAGAAAAGAACCAATTCCATTCGGCTTCTTTTGGGGAGAGGTGTTTGTGCTCAAGATAACTGACATCAGTTTGGTGTGTGTTTATAGAACCCTGCCACATTCCAGGCGCCATCCTTGGCTGCTGCTGCCACGGGCTTGCATCTTAACAAGAGAGAGCAACAATAAACAAGTTACTATGTGGGAAAACACAAAACAGCATCAGGCGAAAGGGCAGGGGGTGTGGCGTTCAAACCCCTTCTATAACTTTGTTGTAAACAAACATGTTACTCACATTTAAATGTGTTAAAGACATGTTGCATGGCAGGAAGAGTGGTTATGAAAGTAGCAAGAAGTCAGAGAGCAGAAAGGTCTCTAGAGGTTGCAGATGCCTTTAATCCCAGCACTCAGGAGGTGGAGGCAGGCAGATGTCTTTGAGTTCAAGGTCAGCCTGGTCCACAGAGGGAGTGCCAGGACAGCCAGGGCTACACAGAGAAAAAGAGAAAGTGAGAGAGAGAGAAACCTTAAGTCATAAAGCCAGGTATGGACTAGGGAAATGGCTCAGTGGGTAAAAGTGCTTGTTACATAAGTGCTAGGACCTGAGTTTGAATTTGCAGAAACCATGTTAGAAAAAAAAAAAAAAGTCAGCTGCTTATGGAGACCAGCTATAATCAGCTATAATCCCAACAACCCCTGCAGGGAGATTGGAGTGAAGCCAAGAGAATTTCCCAAAGCTTGTGGGCAGGAAAACATATTGTCCTCTGACCTTCAAATGTGCACAGTGGCACACACAAATGAATCCACATACACACAAGAATGTGTATGGGGTGTACACACACACACACACAAAGCCAGGCATCATGTGCTGGACCATCAGGACCTCACGGTGGGAAGTGGCTTTGAATAGATTACATGCAAGCTTATAAACGTGCTTGACTCCAGCCCAGCCCCATCCCCTATCCCACACCCCCAGTGATATCTATGGATCCAGCCAAGTGGACTGTGTGGTTAAGGAAAACACGAAACTTCCAGCTCCTTCTTAGGTTCCTGGTCTCTGCTGCTGATTCTCTGTGGGCTGAAATGGTAGCACTGTTGAGAGAGGAGATCAAAGACGGGACATTGTGCTCTGGATGTCTGGGTGACCTACCTCTGGCAGGTGGTGCAGAGGGCAACAGAATGGGCCAGAGCTACTTCAGTTAAACAGCTGGAAGCCCAGCTAGGCCTGAGCGACAGCTCTCTCTCCTCCAGGACACGAAAAGTGAGCTAAAGAAGGAGAGGGTGTCACGTGGTTTCACTTGGCAGATAGGAAGGAGCTGGTGGCCCAGCAGACGTGGCTGCGCTGCTAGGACTCAACGATTATCACTAGTGAGCGTCTCAGAAGGTGGCGATTGTGTCCTGTTTTGCATATTGGTTCAGGGTGGTAAATGATTTGCCAGAACTCTCCTAGACAGGAAGCTGGACTGCAGACCCAGCCCTTCTGCTTTCACCGGCCATGGGTTCTCACAATCTGCTTTATTCTCTCTCCTACAGGGCCGTCTCTGTGACTTGTGGCTCCCAGGGAAGTCAGAGGGGAGGAGGGTTCCTCACGATCCTCATTCCCTAACTCTAGAGGCTTTTGTTTTTTAAGAAGGGAAAGTTATTGTTTGCCCCCAACAGAGATGAGAATAAGTGGAGGGGGCGTGTCCTTCTGAAGCTTTACCGTGG